TAGTAAGGCACTTGTTCCTAGAAGTGATGCACTTGTTCCTACTAGCTTCTTGTTACTACTAGTAAGGCACTTGTTCCTAGAAGTGATGCACTTGTTCCTAGTAGCGTCCTCTTGTTACTACTAGTAAGGCACTTGTTCCTAGAAGTGATGCACTTGTTCCTAGTAGCGTCCTCTTGTTCCTAGCAGTAAGGCACTTGTTCCTAGAAGTGATGCACTTGTTCCTAGTAGCGTCCTCTTGTTCCTAGTAGGTAAAGCCAGAAAGCGCCCCGTTCGTCGCGTCCCAGGCAGGAGACGCCTTGCTCACAGAGGTCCGCAGGTGCGAAGTCGTGAGACCCGTTTATGGCATCGTTGCATGTAACAAAAAGAATTTAATTAGAATTGTAATTACTAGCTTCTTGTTACTACTGGCGTGGCACTTGTTACTAGTAGCGTGGCACTTGTTACTAGTAGCGTGGCACTTGTTTCAAGTAGCTTCATGTTTGGATATGTTTTGGTTCATGTAAATGTCATGAACACTTCAATGGAATTAATTCAATTTAGTCCTTACTGTGATCGGACTTGGACTTGTGCCTGGGCCCGCGGTGTTGGCTTCAGTTTCACCAAGTCCAAAAAAGAACGCCTGCAGCAATGAGCAAAGCTGCTGGCAAAGGACCTCCGCTCCCTCCAGCCTCAGGCCGGCTTTTGGGACGTCGTGGGTCCAAGATGAGGAAGTTGGAGGCCATTGCTATTGGGTTTAGCTACTAGGAGCAAAGGGCATCGCTACTAGTCGTAGCAGGAAGCTACTAGAGTTGGAGGCCATCCCTACTAGGTTGGAGGCCGTGGCCAGTCAGTTGGAGAACTTGGAACTTCCACTTTCCCTCGTTACTTTCTGCCGCGTTCCCCCTTGCTCACCGTCCTTTTGGCCTTTCTTTGCTAAGAAAAGACCCACGTTCTTGGCTTTTCTTTCTTTAGACCTTGAGTCTTTGTTCCTTCTTTTAGGCATTTGCGGGATTTCTGACCTTTTATGTGTCGTTTTTTTCGTTGGATTTTTTCGTGTAGAACTTTCTTTCTTTTTGTCCTTTCTCTTAGATGTTTTAGAGCCACCTGGAGTTGTTGAAGACAGTTCTTTTCTCAAAACTCCCACAATCCGGCTTGCTTCAGCACTGCAGCAAGTTCTTTGACCTTGCCAGGCTACGGCAAAGGCGGAAGCAAAACGGGAACGAACACGAATAGTACAAAGAGTGCCGTGGTGCAGATTAGTTTAACATTGACTATTTTTTTAACTGGGCATGTCTATTAGTTGATCATTTCTTGGGCAACCCGTGCGCTTGAGCACCGTATACCAAGGCCACGCAGTTCAGCTCACAGTGCGTCGTATGACGGGTGAAGAAATGTCAGTGCAGACAGAGTGGCGTGGTGCGCAGACAGACGATGGGCATTTTGGTTTCCTTTCTTGCTGAAAGATGACAACATAGGCAATTTGCGACGATTTGCGAGTGGGAGTGGGAATTGATGGAGCTTTGAGTTGTTTTGCAGCAGAGGCTTGATGCTTTGATTCAAAGCGTCCGTGTCTCCGTTGGCAAGAATCTGGGGGTCAGCCCTCACCGAATCAAGCTTCTTGCCGAGGATGCGCAGGCAGATGCCAAAAGACTTCCGACTCGCAGCACGTCAGTTGTGTTCTAAAACTCTTGAAGATCTTTCTTTTATTGCTCGCCATCGCTAGTAGGTTGGAGGCCACGCTACTCATTGTTGGGAGGGCTGAGCCCCTTCAAGGGTCGTAGCTTCCAACTATCTTTTGGGTCAGGAGCCAGGACGTAGTCAACATGACTAGTTCATAGCAGGTCCGTGATTGAAATACTTTGTGTCAGCCAAATACTTTTGACTCCACAATGTTCCATAATGTTCCTCCAGAATTCCTGTACTTCCTAAGCTCTACTGCCAATAAATGCACAATTTCCGCACCGCAATAGTTTGCTTTCTAGCGAGCCCTCGGATTTGGACTGCTAGACACCTTTAACTGCACATGTCGCACATTTGCTGTTGTTTCGCTTCTATATAGGTTGGAGGCCAATTGCTCTTGTTTCGATTGGATTCAGAACGCTTTGGCATTGAAGAACTGCTTGCACTGCTTGCCAGGTCTTGAACAACAGCAGCACCGTGAGGTGCGGAAACGACGGAGACTTTCAGGAAACGACATCCTTTCGGAGCCTCCAATCTACCTACTGTGCGATGGCCTCCAAGCTACTAGCGATGCTGGTGTATGCGGATGAAGATGTTATCCCTTTTTTTAATCCCTTTGTTTAGACTCTAGACCTCTTGTTCTTTGGGCCCTTTCCGAGCCCTTTTGCTTCTTTGCCCTAAAATTCCAGGAATCCAATCATATTTGTGCGAGCGCTTCTTGAAGGAAGCACTCCCCGCCCTCAAGCTGGGGCAAGCTCCCTTGAAGAAGCGTGAACTATCCTGTGTCCATATGTAGTAGCTTCCTATTGCTAGTAGCGAACTACTCACTTAATTAAGTAGGCGCCTACTGAATAAAGCAAAGAGGCAGGGCCACCGGCTTTAAAACAAATCGACGTTTAGAGGTTTTTACTTTTTACATAGCTACTAGGAACAAGTGCCACGCTAGTAGTAACAGGTGCCTTACTAGTAGTAACAAGAAGCTACTAGGAACAAGTGCCTTACTACTAGTAACAAAAAGAATTTAATTAGAATTGTAATTACTAGCTTTTTGTTACTACTAGTAAGGCACCTGTTACTACTAGCGTGGCACTTGTTCCAAGTAGAATTTCATTAGAATTCTTCTTTTCAGGCCTGACCTTTCATGACCCATCACCTACCTTTCATTACCCCCAAGACGGAACGGTCGTTGGTCGTTGGTCGTTGGTCTTTTGACTTTGCTTCCGAGGCAGTCCGGGTTGGAAGAGGGTGCCATCTTGACCAGCGTTGTACTCCCGCCCGTCTATGGCGCATTAGGACATGCAGGAATCTCAGCACCAGATGAGGCCGGGTTGTGAGTCCAATTGCACCAGAATGTACCAGAACATGAGCTGTTGATCGAAGCGTGCAGGTCATTTCTGCCAAAATGGAGCTTCATGATGCCTTGTCACAAGCTGGGAAGCTGACACCTATTCATACGCCTTCCTAAAGGCACTTCACGCTTTGAGAGCGGTGCAGCCACACGGCCGTGTGACAAGACCGTTCTTGCGGCTCTAGTGCGCCTTCTCGTGCTGCTTTATCCGCTCGGACTGCACTTGTACAGTGGGACCAACGTTGGCAGAAAACAGATTCGAAGCAGCGTTTTCAGCTTTTCCTTTTGAAGCGGAAACACAGCAAAGATTAGAATCTGCCAGATCCATGAAGGGTAGGTTGGAGGCCATCGCTCAATCTCGTCTCCAGCGGTGAGGGGATCCGAGTGCCAAAAGCTATGGCTGCGTTGCGCTGGTTGCGCCGTTCTCGCTCGTTGCGATCGCGTGGTCTATTCGTGTCTCAGCACAAGGACACTTTGTGCGACAAGCTCCAATTGCGTGTGGAATACGGTAAGAATATGTAAGAATACGGTACTAGATGGTAATAGCATTGGTGCTATCACTTGGTCGTTGGTGCTTGTACGAACGGAATTGGCACTGAGACATTCTGTAACACGGTCGCATGAAGTTGTCTTTTTGGAGTATACCATCCCGGTGTCACACCGTCGACTAATCAGCTACAGCCTAATCGGCTAATCGGCTAGTGATAGACATGTCTCTCTTTGTGTGGCCACATACCCGACGATTCCCTCCACGTCGTGTTTTCTCTAAGACTGAAGCCGCTTCTGCCAAGGAAAGCGGCCAAGAGCCGACGGAAACACAGCGAAGCCGTGCAGCAAGTGGCGTGGAAGCCGTGGACACCGTGGAACCAAGCAGCGAATCGAGAGCATTTGCCAAAGCAGCCGCCAAAGCTTTGCGTCGCCATCAGTGGCAAGTGACCTTGGCTTTGTTGAGAGATGGAGCAGGAATAACCTTAGCAGGCAGAGTAAGCAACATCAGCACCCATGCTAAGATGACGGACAAAAACGACAGCAGTGGCAGCACCCATCACAGCAACGGAGCAAACAGTTCCATGAAGAAAGACGATGTGGATATTGAAAACGATGAGATCGATGAGATGGATGAGATCAGTCGCTGGAACATCATGATCAGCGCCTGGGCATCTGGCAACCACTGGCGACGTAGCCTCGCAATTCTTCAAGCCATGGAGAACAGCAGCCCAAACAGTCCGCTGCCAAAGCCCGATTTGATCTCCTTCAACGCAACGCTTCACGCGCTGGAAAGATCTTGTAAGTGGTGCCCCAGCAGAATTGAGTAATTATTGTTTTCAACAGCACTTTCATTCACAAAGGGCATCGCTACTAGGAGCAAGGACGCAACTAGGGGATCCTGGCCTTACTACTAGGAACAAGAAGCTACTAGGAGCAAAGGGCATCGCTACTCGGAACAATGACGCTATGATGTTCACAGAATGGGGTCACAATGATTTGAGATGGAAGAGTTTCCAAGCAAAGCTAGAGTCACAGCTGGGTTGCAATGGCGATGACCTCTCCAACCTGACTAGCGATGGCCTCCAACTGGTGGTTGAAGGTGTTTAAACACTAAAACTGTCTTAACATCTCAAGGCAACATTGCTTGGCGCTTTTGGCAGCGATGGAAAGATCGAGTTGTATGGATGCATGGAGCATCAGGATTGCCATCTCTTCGTGCGCGAAGAACAGAGATTGGCAAAAAGGGCAGGAACTGATCAAACAGATGCAGAAATGGGCTCTAGAAGCCGATCTTTTTTGCCATACAGCACTGTTGAGTTCGTATCAGAGGAGCACAGCGTGGGAGTTGGGTTTACGATATTTAAAGCTAGACATTGAAGAAGATGTTTTGAAGAGATTTGATTCAATTGGCTTTGAATCAGCTTTGAATCTCACCGCGGCCGGGGCTTGGCAAGAGGCTTTCTGGTTGTTCAGCCTCATGCAAGAGCAAGCGATCCAGCCAAGCATCACAGGTCTTGTCACTTCAGTCAAAGCGCTTCAGAACAGTTCAACCCCACCGACGCAATGCCAGAAAGGGAGTTTGCAGAAAGACCTCTACGATCAGATTGAACACAGCTGTGTGTCTTTGCTGCTGGACATCCGCCCCAGTGTGGAACAGCTCCTCACCGACGGACCTGATGGCTCCGAGGGATCGAAGATCAACAGCAAGACGCTGAGGCAACGCATCGTGCACATCGTCTCAGCCGTGGAGCACCTCCTCAGCGTTCGGATCGAGGGAGTTTCAGAGTCCTGCGCGAGGGAGGGGGTCGCTTTGGGAGAAGAGCAAGCACGAAGTCGCTCAGACGAGAGCGAGGCAAAGGAGCTGAAGAGTTTCCACACGATGCTGGAGAAGAGTTTGGGAAGAAAAGAGGAGTTTCTGGAGCAAGGGAAAGATTGGGAGAAGAGCTTCCACACGATCATCTTTTGGCCTGTTTTAGAGGCCTTGAGGAGTTCAAATGTTCGGCTTCTGGGGCATATCCATACACTTGGCGGCCATTTTACGCAAAAGGCCTTGAACGAGTTGAGGATGACACAGATGGAGAGCGCTGAGAGCTCCAACCCCTGGGCGTTGGATGCCCGGAAGGCGGTTGCTGCCGCCTTACAGGATGTAGACGTGGTCGAGCCATCTGCTAGACACTTGATGAGTTGGGTTTCGTATTCAGTCAGAATTCAGGTACCAAATATGAGGCCTCACCTTCTGCGTACGAGGGGCTTCGTGGTGCCGCATGGGCCCCATGATCGTCTCTCTGATGAGTTGCCCTCCGTGTTCTGTCACTTTGACCGGTCGCAGCATTCTGAGAGAAGAGCATTGTTGAAAGTCTTAGAGAGACTCAGTTCAGCAACTCAAGTAGCTCAGGCCGAGGCTCAGGCTCAAGCTGAGGCAGTTGTCACAGGCAGTGTGCGTCTCTTCAGCTGCCATACTCCGTGCGTCTCCTGCTTGTTTGTTTTCACGCAGTTCCAGCAACTGTTTCCGCAGATCCGCCTGCAAGTGGCCTTTCAGTCTTGGGCAGAGACCAGGGCCGACGCGCTGCAAAATTGCACAGACTGGCGCGCTAAAACGTGCTGTGCGCATCGCTGGTTGCCCATGTTCTGTTTCTGTCTGACTGGGGTAGTCGACTGACCGAAAAAAGCACAGACTGACAAAGTTGACATCCTGCCATACTAGTTGGCATCCTGCCTCCACTAGAGTCACTCGACTTCTGGAGGCAGTTCCAGAAGTATCATTGGAACCTGGAACCTGTTCGTGTGAAGCCCGAGACCCAGCTTTGAACGACGTCTAGATCAACCTTTCTGAGCATTTCAGAACATCACTCTCCTACATTTTACTACTATTTTGCTTACATGTTTTTTTAATGCTAGCTCCATGAACGCAGTGCTCCTTGCGGGCATGCTTTTGAGGGGATTAGTCGACGCATGTTTCAGGCTCAAATTGGCATCTGCAGGGCGCAATGCTGGACTTTTAGGCCGAGTTTGACATGTTTGCTCAAGCCACTGTGGAATTTTGTTTCCCACATCTTCCCACTATGTTGGGTAACCTCCACAGTCATGATCACACTAGAGTTTGGCTCCAGGAGCTGCAAGGGCTGCTATGTTGTCCCAAAGATGATGGCAGGTACGACACATACACGACTTGGGGAAGGCTTTTACTACTTAGACATCTTAGACAACTGACAACTCAGTAAGGAATTTGCAGGAGAACTTTCACCTACCGTGGCCTTCCCTTATCCCTTCTGACCCAGGAGTCCACAGCAACATCTCTTCAAAGCAGAAAGGCGGCAAGTAGACCCTACAGGTGTATTGTTCTTGCTTCAACGTCACCTACCCTGAAGCCTTCTGCAAACATCTGCAAACTACCTGTGTGGTGCATATGGAGTTCAACGACAAACACTACAAACACTTGGGTGCAATTTGTGTATATTTCAGACCTAATTCAGGCCAGTTCCGAAACCTTTGCATAGTCTATGTATGGGCAACCTTGCACAGAGTGTCTAATGATTCCCATCTCATCCCTCTCCATGTTTGTCCCCTTATGTTCCCCCTTATCCGTATCCATCCATCCCTATTCCATCTCCCAATCCAGCGCCAGGCGCGCTGCATCGCCCGTTCGAACGAGCGCATCGCGAGTTCAGTCGAGAAAAGGAACGCAGAGCGCAGCAGAGCGCAGCGGAGCGCAGCGGAGCGCAGGGTGGCTCCGCCGTCCTTTGGGTTTGCGGAACATATACTGCTACGCTGGGCGAAACAGCACACGTGTCGGTCGGTTGTGGTCAAACATGCCGTTTCATTTCGCAGAGTCAACGTGACGTCTTCCTACTCTGCGTTCTCAAAACAACAGTCGAGTCGGGAAAGCCGCCGTTTCAAGACCATGGCTTTGCGTTAAGACAGTGAACGGCAAGACGTGTCAATATTTCTCGTTCAATGAGGCAGAGCAACAAAAGCTTTGGCTGAGGCAGAAACAGACATAGACATGACATTGCCTCAAAAGACCCTTTGCTCGGGTTGATCTTATGTTTTGGACTCTTAGTCGAAGAGTCCAAATAAGAGAACTTTGGACCTTTAATCAGGTCCCTTAATATGATTTGTTTAGAATTTCATTGTCTTTTTCCTTTGAACACTTTAATTTCCTTCCTTTTTTTTCTCCATATTCTGTGTAAAGAACCTGTAGACCCTTCAAGGCCGACACCACCTTCATTTGTCTTTTCAGGTTGGTCTATCTTGGAGTGTATAGATCTCATTTGCAAGCGTAGACTCGACCCACACCGCAGCGGTGCGCCGAATAGCGTCAGTTCTCCGACAACTCGCTTTGCTGACGCTGTCAGCGTAGTGAGAGACGCGAGTAAAAGCCCTGAAGCACCTGGCGCAAATAAATCTCATGTCTTCGTGGACCCTTCCTTCTCGTTGGAGGCCATCACTAGTAGTAAAACAGGGCATCGCTACTAGTAGCAAGCATGCTACTATGGGCGCTCCTGGCATTATTATTAGGTTCGTTTTTCTTCCACACGGTCGTAAGGTCGCACGCTTCAGAAACCACACTGCGCTGGGAAACCACGAAACACCAAAGCTGGGCAACACGAACGAGTCCAAGTCATTCTGAACGTGTTAACTTGAACTAGTACAGAATGTCTTGGTGTCATGCAGAGCCTAGGTCTAGTGGGTGTTGGGAGGCTTTCTTCGGATGTGGTCGTCGTATGCATGGTATCAATTGAAGAAAAAAATAAAAAGAGAAGGATCTCAAGGTGACATCAAGGTGACATCTTCCTAAAGATCTGGAAACATCTAGGCTTCGTGTTGGCGGCTAGCGGTCTTCACCACCCCACTCACCGCTGAAAGAGAAGATAAAGAGGAGTTGTGACACGCCTTGTGACTGCAGTGTAGCGGCTTCTAGGTTGGAGGCCATTCCTATTAGGTTGGAGGCCATTGCTTCTAGGTCCTAGCTGTCTGAAGCAGTGTAGCGGATTCTGAAGAAAGGCCCCAGATTTGGGGCTCCCGGCCACCCGGTCGCGTTCCGGAAGCTACGGCGTTCTTGGAGCTCTCAGTGCGTTTCGACAGACAAATCCCTTTTGCGAGGCCTTCGTGTTGACTCTTTTGGCCATGTGGATCAAGACTCTTTTCGTGTTGACCAGTGCAGCACGTGGCTCTTCCAAGAAGCTTGTTGTTCGTCTCTTCTCCAAAGGAACTGGTCTCTGAAATAGACGGAGCTTGTGCGGGATGAGTTGCTATCGTCGGTGCCGCAGCTTTTGTCTCGCTGCTTGCTTTTCTCGTGGGCGCTGGTGACGTGCTCCAACAACGGTCCAACCTCCCTTGTTCCTATAGTAGCATCCTCTTGTTACCAGTAGTAAGGCCAGGAGCGCCCCGTTCGTAGCGTCCTTGCTAGTAGCGATGCCGTTCCTAGTGTCTTGCTCCTCCCTGAAAGGCCCTTCTGTCGATGTTTCGAATTTCGCGCGCGACGTGACCATCCTTTGCGACACATCGATGCAGAACGAAGCGATGAAGCGGCGACGCAAAAGCAAAGGAAAGGACCGGAAAGGGCTTTGGTTGAAGGTTTTTTTTTTCCTGTATACTCTTGTGTTTTGGCAAAGAACAGCGAAACGTACCCACAGTGTGGAGCTCGCACGCTCAACTGTTGGGAGCGTGTTGCCGTGTTTGAATATGTTCTTATATAGGCTATGAAGCTGCGTAGTCTCGCCAAAAAGAGTTCAAACACCGAAGACCGAAGATCATTTTATGATCTGTTATGCCCTTTTGACCTCGTTGCTCCATTGGCCGCATGGAGCACGCTGAGTCGGCTTCGCAGCTTGGAGCTCCAATCCGACGATGCGCTCCAGAGCTGCCTGCTCACGCCGCGATCAACCCGTGTGTGACCCTGACCCGCTCAGCGTCACTAGTAGCTTCTTGCTACTAGTACTAGTAGCAAGGTGAATCGCTACCAGTAGCACTACTAGTAACCAGAAACTACTAGGCTGGAGGCCATCGCTACTACAGTAGGTGGACCAAATATTCAAACCCGTCGATGACTGTCACCAACCCCCGACCCCCAAAGGTCAATGTTGAACACGACTTCATTGAATTTGTGTTGCCAGGGTTTGGTTCGTCCATTCGCCAAAGCACTCTGGGAGCCTCCCTAACATTAAGTTTTGGGGTGGAAGGGGTCCAGGCGCTCCTCACGCACTGGCGCTGCTGCAATTCACATGCTTTCTGCCAGCCCACGCGGCACCCAAGGCCCACACCCACCAACAGCTGGCTTTTTGTCCCTCTCCTTCACGCAGGTGCTCGGCGCCTCCACCCGCATTTGCAGCAGCAGAGTGGCGCACGGCCCATTGCGTGGCAACAGGTGCACCACACATGGGAAAGCTTGCAACACATCACAGCCCAGACCGGCACACAGCTCCCGCCAGCAGAGCCACACTTGACCACGCGCCTGGCAACAGCAGGTTGCTTTTTTGCCCCCCGGCGCATTGATCGAGTACACCTGGGCATATAAGCTGTGCCTCCAACCGCCATGTGCATCCCAAAACGGCTTGACGCGTGGCAGAATGGCGCCGTCCGGCCCAGCAACCCGAGCGGGGCCGAAGTACCCCAGGAATCCACACAGCAGAGCAATGCCGTAAAGGCAGCCACCAGCCCTGACACATCCACTACCCCACCTCATCCGACAGCTCGACCACAGATTCCGGCACCGTTCCGGCACCGCCCGCCGCAGAACCCGTGCCCAGATCCATTACAACGCTAACATCACCCCATCCACACACGACCGCAACAGCGCAACAACTAGCCAGCTAGAACCCTGCGTGCGCCAGGCATTGCGCAGCCTGGATTCCGTAGACCTCCTTGCCACCCTCCGAGGCAAAACCAGCCAATTCCAAACACCACCTCTTTTTCTTCGAGGACGGCTCCGGGCGGCTCAAATAGCAGCCGTGGACAGAAACCGATTCCGCGCGAGCGTGGGCTCTTCCCAGAAGAGTTTCCGACACGGGTCACCACCCATACCCGCGTTGCTCAACTCATAGACCAACTCCACCGCCACGATGGCCGCCGAATCGAAGTCATTACAAATGGCTTGAGCCTGTGGGGTGGCGCCCAATCAGCCGTTGACACCACTTTAAGTGTCCCCCCTCGCTCGGGACGGACTGCCCCGCACACATGCAGGCACCTACCGGGGGGCAGCCCTGCACGCAGCACGACGGAGCAAAGAACGAAAATACCCAGAACTTCTGGCGACCCGCCGATGCAGGCTTGTCGTGCTCGCCAGGAGGTGGAGCCAAGAAGCAGCCACCTTCATCCGGGACTTGGCCATGTCCAGAGCCCGGCAAGCCCCCGCCCTCCTGCAACCAGCCATGCCAACCGCCTTGGCCTCCCGGTGGTCAGCCCTCCTCAGCCACGCCGCCAGCCAGACTTTTGCAGCCACCCTCCTCACTGAAGAATTGTCCCCCAGCACAGCGTCGACAACCGCCTCCATCAGCCAACTTCTCGCGAATCCCCGCTGACAACCCCCACCTCCAGCCGCCTCCCCCCCTAACAACGGGGCCTGTGGCTTGGATTTGGCTGCCCGGCTCACCAACAGCTTGGGAGAAAAAAATATCGCGGCCTTCCCATGACTTCGGTGCCCCGGACTCCGTGTGTTAA